TCATCTGATGTCTTCTGTTTACTATAAGTTCGTCATTGCTATCTCTTATAACCACCTCCCTGGGAATGTGCTTTTTATACTCAATGCCATTGGATACTGATAGTTATATATACAGATGCAGGTGGACCACTTATTGAATCACATACTTGAAGCACCTGGACTTTCTGATTGGTTTAATGATGCCGTGGATGCTGGGAACCCAGATGCTTTGCTTCTAGCTTTGAGGGTTCGGGAGAAAGTATCTGTTGATAGCTTAAAGTTTGGAAAAATTCTGCCACATCCATTCAGCCCTGCCAGATTCTTCTCCTCTGATCATTTGACTTTACTCACTCAGTGCTGGAAGGTTGTTCTCCAAGATATTTGTTTTATCCAAGTTCTTTCTGACTTACGAGGTCTAATAGCTTTTCCCCCTTTGTTTTTAATTGTTGAATGTGGCAGAATTCAACCTCCTGCCAGCCTCGAGTTCACAGCGTGTGGCCTGTTCTGGTAAATATGCTTTTGCCAGTAGTGATATCCCAGGCTGAAGATGTGGTATCGGCTTCTAATTCTCTGAAGAAGAATCGAAGAAACAGGAAGTCCAGTTCAACAGATGAAGAAATTGAAAAGAATGTTAAAAACTTCTGTGAGGTTATATTTGAGTGTGCCCTCCTCCCATCATCTCATGACCGTAAGCATCTGGCATTGGATGTTCTGCTCCTCCTTCTTCCAAGGCTACCTGCATCTTTGGTCCCAGTTGTTCTCTCTTACAAACTTGTGCAAGGCCTCATGGATATTCTTTCAACAAAAGATAGCTGGCTTTTTAAGGTTGCACAGCATTTTATTAAAGAATTATCAGATTGGGTTGGAGATGATGATGTCAGAAGGGTTGCTGTCGTAGTTGCCTTACAGAAACACAGCAATGGGAAATTTGATTTCATAACAAAGACAAAAACAGTAAAAGCGTTGTTGGCGAGCTTCAAAACTGAGTCTGGTTGCATGCTATTCATTCAAAATTTGATTAACTTGTTTGTGGATGAGGGTAATGATTCAGATGAACCTTCAGACCAGAGCCAGACAACTGATGATAATTCAGAGATGGGATCACTAGAGGATAAAGATTCTGGTACCTTGGGAAGTTCTGATTCCTTGAAAAGTTGGATTGTAGAATCGCTGCCAAGCATCTTGAAATTTTTGAAGTTGGAGCCTGAAGAAAAATTTCATGTCCAAAGAGAAATCCTTAAGTTCCTTGCAGTTCAAGGTTTATTCTCCCCATCTCTTGGCTCTGAGGTCACATCTTTTGAACTACAGGAGAAATTTAGGTGGCCAAAGGCAGCAACATCAAGTGCCATTTGTAGAATGAGCATTGAGCAAATGCAGTCATTACTTGCAAGTGCTCAGAAGATGGAGTTATCCCCAGTTTTGCTGCAGAGCTCTGGATCTAGTGATATCGGGTCATTCTTCATGCAGTTCCTCTCAACATTGCACAGCATACCTTCTGTTTCTTTATTCCGGGTTTTAAGTGACGAGGATGAGAAGGCTTACAAAAAGTTGCAAGTAATGGAAGCTAGTCTTTACAAACAGGTAAAGGTTGCATTTAACAAGTTGTGCTTGGTGTTTCTAAAGGTTTGAAGTCGCTTCAGTACTTTTATTCAAATGTTTATGGCAAATTTAAAAATCTAGTATCCAAACGTTTGGCACACTATAAAATATGAAAATATAAAATATCTCGCACATATCAACATTTTGTAATAGTGTAGTTCCAAATACAAGTTTCTATACTCATTTGCTTTCACGACAATGCCAAACTAATACCTTGTGCTCATGGTCTCAAGGCAACAAGACATGATTGAATATTTGGTTCAAAATTCTTGTACTTATGGTTTCATGGTAGAGAGATCCAGTCATATAGTCTGCTTCTTTCTTGGGACTAAAAATTTGTTCATATGCAGGCACATTCAGTGCCTAGTTTGTACTGCACATATATATTTTTTATCATGCACCATTCAATGGCATCATTCTTTGACATTTTAATTATTGCAGGAAAGAAAGGGCGGTCCTGAGGATTTCATGTACAAGTACCATGCACTGAGGTATTTGTTGATCCAGCTATTGCTCCAAGTGCTTCTTCATCCGGCGGAATTTAGCGAACCTGTCTCTGAAATTATTATATGTTGCAAGAAAGCTTTTGGCCTCTCTGATGTTCTTGACTTGGGGGAAGATGAGTCTGATAATGATATTGAGTGGATGGATGTTCTTGTCGACACTTTGGTTTCACTGTTGCCTCAATCATCGGCTCCTATCCGGTCTGCTGTTGAGGAGGTATGCCTCTTTTGTTTCATTTTTCTGTATTTAGTTCCTCTTCTTCGTCATATGACATTCCAAATTGGTGTTTAACCTTTTCCGAGGCTGCTTCTTTTAATAATTACTTTCTCCTAAGGCTTCAGTTTTTTGTAAGCATGGCACAATATGACATTATCCTCAATATGGTGTGAGGCATCGAAAGTTGAAAAATTAAACACGTGTTTAGTCGCAGTTGACTCAATTTATTCCAACATCAGTCTAGGGCTTATCTTTCTCGAACTCTTCTAGTGAAACTCTTGTTGCTTGACATGTCATTTAACTTAACGTCATGTTTGCATCTATAATAGTAGTCTTGCTGCACACAAAACCAGAGCTAGATGACAGGTGCTGACTGTTTTTATTACTTCAGTTGTTATTGATGAGTTCACTAACATTATCTTTTTTTCCCACTTGCTACTTCGAAGGTTTTCAAGTGTTTCTCGTACAATGTTACACATGATGGATTGTTGCAAATGCTGCGCATCATCAAGAGAGACTTGAAGCCAGCTAGACATCGGGAAACAGATAGTGACGAAGAAGAAGATGATGATGATCTTCTTGGCATTGAAGAAGATGAAGATGATGAAACTGATGAAGCCCAAACAGTTGAAACAGGTGAGAGTGAAGAACAGACAGATGACTCTGAGGCCGTAGTGGAAGCTGACAAAGAATCACCTGAAGATTCTGACGAGTCAGATGATGGAATGGATGATGATGCAATGTTCAAGATGGATACATACCTTGCCCAGATTTTCAAAGAGAAAAAAAATCAGGCCGGGGGTGAAACTGCTCAATCACAGCTCGTCTTGTTCAAGCTTCGTGTTCTCTCATTGCTGGAGATTTACCTACAGACAAATCCAGGTAAATGGTTGGATTAGCCAGGGACCAGAGAAGGGTCAATTGATTGCGTTCATCCCTTGCTGTGGAGAAAATATTGATTTGAGCATCAACGAGTTGGTTATATAAATATTTTGAAATGCATTCAGTGACTTGGTAACTTAAAGGATACATAACTACCATCAGTTTTAGAGATTACTTTGTCTTATGAGGTCTTTGGGATTTGGAGTTTGTGACAGTAAATAGCATGCTGAAAAAAAAAACAAAAGGAAAACAACTGTGGAAACACTATGCTAACCTAAATTTATTTCTTCTTTATGGTTTTGCAGATAAACCCCACGTCTTGACAATCTACTCGTACTTGGCTCGGGCGTTTGTTAATCCACAGACCACAGAAGTCAGTGAGCAGCTAGGACAGCGAATATGGGGAATTTTGAATAAGAAAATATTGAAGGCAAAGGAGTACCCGAAAGGGGATGATGTGGACAACGAATTGCTTGCAACACTGCTAGAAAGAAATTTGAAGTTGGCATCCAGACCATTCAAGAAGAAGAAATCTACTGCTGCTGCTGATCAATCCAAGAAAAAAGAGTCAGCTGCCAGGAAACGGCACAAAATGCTGGCTTCCCTTGCACAAGATTCAACATTTTGGATCCTGAAGGTGATTGATGCGAGCGCTTTTTCAGAGGAAGAACGCCAGAGTGTCTTTGATGCGGTGAAGAATATGCTTACGGGATACTTTGGCAGTAAAAAGTGCCCAATAAAGTTGGGGTTTGTCAAAGAGATATTCCGAAGGAGACCGTGGATTGCACACCACCTCTTTGATTTCCTTGTAGACCAGTGCGGCAGCTCAAAACTGGAGTTCCGTCGAGTTGAAGCACTCGAACTTGTTGTAGAGGTTTTGAAATCAATGATTTCAAGTACTGGTTCTGATGGAAAGGCCGCAAAGAGGATTCTGAAAACTCAAGTGATTCAGAAGCTGAGTGGGCTGTTGAAGGAGCTAGTGACAAATATGCCAGAGAAACAGTCGAGGCATGCTGATGTGCGGAAATTTTGCGGTAAGGTCTTCCATACTATATCTGCCAATAACCTGACCAAGTCGTTTCTGAAAGAAGTGGCGCCAGAAGTGCAAACCGCTTGCGAGTCCCATCTGGGCGAGCTGTTCCTCAACTTCAAGAATGGGAAGCAGCAACAAAAAGTCAAGGATTCAGCTTGAGTCGGGGCTGTTTGCCAGTGCAGATTATGTTTCGAAAGTTTTGATCGTATCCTGTTTGGTGTTTTTGGTTCGACGTGATTTCCTTTTCTTATTAGCGAGCGAGTAGAACATAGTGGGAGAATCACACTGGTAGGTTACTGAGTTGTTTCTTGGCCCTTTGAACTTCTGGTTATGTTCATGGGAGTAGCAGTTGTGTATGTCGTATTTTTATTCTTCTGTAACTCGGGCGAGTGCTCTTGATATGTTTACATCAGCAGTGGTGGTCGAGTAACATCATCGTACGCAGACAAATATGTTGGGCCAATTTCACCTTTTCTTTGACCTTGTCAACAAAAAGGGTGATGCTTGCTTTGCTTGATGGGGTGGTGGAGGGAGGGGTCGTTTTTTTCTACCCAAAAATAAACGAACCCCAACTTCAACTAGCTGTTGCTATCGCGCAATCAAAAGACTTGGTAGTGCGTTCTAAGTCGTTGGAAGATATTATTCTCAATTGCCACCAAGGAAACTATCATTCATAGGAGGAAATAGGGAGGAATATGTAATGTATGAAAGAAATAGATGGATGAAGCGGAAGAAGCTGCAGCGGAAGAGCATTCAAGATTCAATCTGATTCCTTCGCTATATAATAACTAGCTAGCATTAATCATTAACATTGCATAGCGATAGGCGATAGCACTGCCGCTCTCCCTCCGTTAATCTTTTTATACCCTTCAACACACCCAAAATGGATAATCAACAGGCACTCTGTTGCAACAAGCTAACTGCGGGTTAATTTGTATTCCAAGTGTTGCAGTAACGAGTACAAACCGTAATTCTGAACTAAGTCAGTCCCCTATCTCCCACGCTCTAGCCAAACACCCAATCATCACCACCACTACTATTTCTCCTTACTCTACCAACTACAAGAAAAAGAAGGGGACAAAAAACACAGAAACAGAACCTTCTCACTCTATTCTTCCTACCCTTTTAACTTAAACCAGCCAGCCACTGCTACTTTTAGCTTCCGCCTCCGTTTCCCTTTTGCTAGCAGCTCGACCTCCCTTCATACACACAAGTATTGATCCACCTTCCTTTAGCGTGCCCAGCTTAAATTTGTTCCACCCACCGCTCCTACAAACCTGTTACAATACACACCATTCCGTTCTCATCAAATTACTACACCATATCGTTTCTAATGCCGACCAATACATCATCAGGAGGACCTGCAGTTATCATACCTCGCTTCTTTCATTCATCAATGTGCAAGGCGGCAGCTCCAGGATCTTCCACACCCCGTGCCCCTGCCTCGAGGAACCTGTGATCCCGAATTCTCATCCACATTGGGTTAGTGCCACTATGAGTGTGCATCCTCTGAATCACTCCCGGAAGAGCTCCCCGAGTCGGAATCTGCATATTCAAATCAGTCAGTATTTTCAGACACGCAAGATTTGTCCACCCCCCCCCCCCCCCCCCCCCCCGAATCACACGAGTCGGGTTATACCACTGGAGGAAGAAGAATCGTCGCTGGAACTACTGGAGCTACCAGAACTGCTACTTGCACGCCCATTGTCCTTCTCAATCTCCACCGGCGGAAAGCTGCTCATTGGCATTTCATCCCCTATATCCACATCTTCCTCGCCTGCATCACCTTTCTTTGGCTTCTTCACCTCATTTACAATGTCCATTCTCTCAATACCAGGCAAATCCTATCCCCACGACAAAACCAAACCAAAGCCACCCATTAGACAATGCACCGAAAAGAATAATCCGAATAAAAGCACAAACCCAATTGAAATTATGATTGAAAAATGAACCACCAAAGTACCTTGTTGCCTTCACTCGTTGCAGGAGCCCCAATATTGACACCCATTAATGCTTGACGCCTCTGCTTGCTCGCCATTTTCTTGTAATTGGTCACAAATCGATCAAGCTCCCACAGAGTCTCTGTATCAACTGCTTCAATGTCAAGCTCAATCTCATCCCCATCTTGCCTCAAATTGCCATTCCTCCTCTTTATTATTTGCACAACTTGCTCCATCTTCTCCTGAGGCAAATTCTGCAATCCTACGCCCAATTTATGTTTCTCTTCCAGGTTCATCGCCCTCTTATTAGGGTCTTTCGCCTTTGGCTTCGGAAGCTTTACAGGCTTCACTGGTGGAACCCGCCGTGGTGATGGAGTCCTGACAGGCAACTGTGAAGTCGACTGAGGGTTAGGGTTTTGGCTCAAACTAGAAGCTTGAGGAGCCACAAAGTTCCCAATTTGCTCGGACTTGACCATCTCTTGCATCACAACCCCTTGGTCTTTCGATACTCTTTGCGTCTCCACCAATCCCCGGTGGTTGTGATCCCATGAACTCGCTTGCACTTCTTGCACGTGCTCTTCCTCTTCCTGGATCTCTTCATCAACAAGCGAGTCCTTGATGGGTCTGAACAACTCTTCAAATCTGTCAAGTAACTGACCAGCAATATTATGTACATCGTGACCTTTAGGATTGTACCTCATCGCATTGTTGAAGGTCAGTCTCACATCTGCAGCAAAATCCGGCGGCGAGTCATAGAGGTTTTTCCTCAACTTCTTTCTCACCGTACCCAGATCCATGGGAACTTTTATTATGTCGAGGTAATCGTGAAGCTGCATTCCAACAACGTCCACCGGAACATTGAAGATATGTCCGAACTTGTGCTTCATCAATTTGGACAGGATCTGGCCGCAATTCTTCATCAATTGCGAGTTATCTGGGTGTTGCGATCTCTTGAAATCTTGAACCCCAAAACTCGAATTGGTAGCAGAGAAAGGCCTCTTGTTTCCCAATATCTTCTTGTTGTTTGGGCCACCAACTAGTTTCTTGTTGTGGAAATTTGAGCTGGATCTGATCTGATAGTCAGTCGACAGGTCGATCCGGCTCTTAAATTGACGAATCTGCTCCAGCTCACCCACCAATCGATCCTTCAGCTCCAACAGCTCCTTCTTCGTATAGGAAGAGATGTTGAAAGTAACGTATCCCCCCGTGTTCAAATCAACAGGTCTCCGATTTATCGAAGAAGCGTCGTCAGAAGCAGCAGACTGCGCAAACGCCGGAGATTCATCTAGATCTGCCAAGGGTAGAGCCTGAAGGTGCCGCTTCTTTGAGAATTTAGGGTTAGGGTTGTTAGAATTAGAGAAAGGATATTTGCCCATAGGTTTCGCACCGCCGGCCGGCTGTGGCTGAATCCAGTTGGGTTCGTTCCGATTAGCTAGCAGAGCTGACGCCATGAGTCCGGTAGAGTCCCGGGACAGCCCCGGCGGCGGAGGTCTCCCAATTCAGGTGACCAAGAACACATGGATCACATTGAGCGTGAACGCCACGCGCCTCCTAGGTTCGATACCCAACGCGCCGGACGAAAGGTGTAGGTCGGAGGGAACAATCCCGCCGGGAGGATAGATCGACCAAGAGAGACAGAGAGAGAGAGATAGAGAGAGAGAGACCGAACCAACTAGGGTTTCGGGGGAAAGGGGGAACGAGGGAGAAGATTGGGAATTGGGGATCTTTTCCCTGATAAGAGCGAAGAGGATAGGAAGGGCAGCCTCGTTCTTAAAGGCAAGGAGATCTGCCCGGAAAGATGATGGGCAAGATCTGGACCGTGTATTTAAATTTCCAACTCGTCATCGGCTGCCCGAAATACTGACCGCCGTGAGCTGGCGAGGACGGCGAAGATCTGGAGTTTGAAACACGTGGTGGGATTTCAGACGGTTAGATGAGACAGCAGATGCGATCTCTTATTTTCGGTTCGGAGTGATAGATTAGACATCCACAAATTTTGTGATATATTTAGCATTTTACTTCCTTAAAATGTATTTTAATTATTGGAGAGACTAAAATTTCAAAAACTCCAAATTTAACTTTTTGTCTCAATAGTTTAGTGTGGCTTTTATTCTTTTTTTATTTTATGAAACAGTTATGTTCTATAATAAAAAAAACTATTATCAACATTCCTTGCCAATTAGAGCAATAAGTATCATCGGGTCATAACCTACTCAAATCAATATTATCAAAATTACGAAAGAATCAACTCATAAACTAACACTTGTCTTTTACAACTAATGTAGTTAAACTATAGTTTTCATATATAAGCGAAATGGTGGGTTCAAACATAAACGTAAAAGCGTAAATTTATATGAATCATTAAAATTATCATAAATCTTCTCCAATTCGACTTATATTTTGTTAAATACAAACATCATGAAACTTTAAATGTCTATGAAATTTTTGGATTTATAAACATAAGCAAATTGGAAAAGCTCTTGAACTCGAGTAAAGTCTAACTCAGAACAAGAAGTTCATAAACATAGGAAAAAAAAGTTAAATTATAGACTAGCATGAACCACAACTCATAGTCAATATGAAATTTCTAAATTCTCAACATCACTACGTCCCAAAAATCTTGATCGACTACGTCTGGCCATCAACATCAAAATTTGCATCCAAGTCTTATCATCTAATCACTGCCATCACCATAGTTGTCATTATTATCACTAACATCATGCTCCTTAAAACTACATCCATCGTCATCCACGAAAAAATGATTAATTTCAACTCCAACTGCATATGATCATTTTTGTTTTTTTACCCGAAAAAAACACTTGACCAGCCCACAGACTGCCCAACCTACTCACTAAACCTATCATTAAAAGGCTTTAAATATTTTAATGAGTTTATAGAAGTTCTAAAGAGGTTATATTAATATCTTCGAACTGGGAAGCGATGTCTCCTCGAAAAAATAACAAGGGATCGTGGAAGGGAGACGAAAAAAATTGGTTAGGGCGGCAATGGGCCTACCGAAATGGGTTCAAACTCTTAATCCATATTATTTAATCGGGTGCATTTTAGTTGGACGTGAATGAAAATGTCTTACCACGTAAGCTTTTTGTAATTTGATTAATTATTTGTTAAAGATTTACCGAAACCTAACAAGGACTGTCGAGGTGAAATGAATGGTGAAGATCACCCAAGGTCGACATGCCCCAGATTTTGCCCTAGGCACCGTAGAATTCACCATACATATGGTTTAGTATCATGTTCGAAAGATCTGTCAATTCAAGGTCTGTATAGCAGTTTCATACTCAAAGTATGCAGTACTCTAGATTTCATATATATATTAGGGCTGGGAAACAGTCCGGTTCGATTTAAAACGGACTGGATTGACCCAGTTTTTTGAAACCGTATTCGACAATCCCACGACCGAAGACGGGATTGGATTGTTACCCGGTTTAACCAAACCGGACTGAATGTAATACGGTTTGGTCCGGTTTTAACCAAAAAACTGGATATATTTATTCCCTCCCAAAAAACGCTGCCGTTTCTGATAAAAAAAATGATGCCGTTTAAATTGGATTAAAAGGAATTCCCCTCACCTCCCACTCGGCACACAGTCACACACTCAAACAATACCTATCCCAATTCCCCAAAATCTACGCCGCCGCTCTCTTCAAAAAAAAAAAATACCCCTAATCCCTAGCTCCGATTTTCATCGATCCATCCTTCACCTTCGCTTCTTCATCTTCTCACCTCCCTCGCCGCTGCAGAAGTGCGACCATCCCTGCATGCACCACCACCGTCCACCGCCATTCAAGTCCTCAACATAAGAGGTCAAGAAAGATCAATTGCTCGCTTCCGCCGCATCGCCGGTGAGAGAGAGGTCCAACACTGGTTTGTGGCCCAGATCGGGAGTTGTTTCAACTCTGAAATCACCATCGCCTTCGCGCTGTCGTTGTCGCCCTGAGGAGATCGTGGCCATGAACAGAAGGGGCATCTCGGTGCCATCAGGGAGGAGAGGAGAGTCGGCGGCTGATTCGATGGTTGAGAGGCGATTTCGGCCGCCAGTCGACTTCTTCTTCGAGAGTAGAGGAGTGGAGTCGCGAGGCGACGGAAGATAGAGGAGAATCGTGAGGGATAGAGGGACTGGGTGGCCATGACGATTAGGGTTTTTGTGTATCTGGGCTTTTGTTTGTGCTGGGCTGAGATTTTGAGAGGGGATTTTGGCTTCAAAGCTGGGCTTGGTGCAAGGCAGGGCTGGTCCCAGTTTCCCGGTTTTAACTGGGTTCTACCTGGTACGGTTTTTCTCCAAATACTCGAAACCGGAATCCGGATTGGACTGGGTTGTATCCGGTTTCCGGTTACAACCGGGACGGTTTAAACTGGCCGATTTCCGGTTTGACCGGAAAACTGAAACCGGATTCCCAACCCTAATATATAGGGCTGGGAAAATAGACCAGACCATTAGAAAAACCATGGTCCAAACTGTACCGCACAGTTTGGTTCGGATCGTAGACCGTGAAGTATGGTCTGGTCCATGGTCTGTATTATTTTATGATTTGATCTCTTGGTCCGGTCTGGTCTAGACCGCGGTTTACCGGACCAAACCGTAGACCCAACTGACTTGTCAATACGTGTTAACAGCCCATTTGACCCCTCTCCAAACTCCCACAACGACACCTAAGTCTCAACCTTAATTTTGTGAATCTCTTCCCTCCTTCATTCACAACCACATTTAACCACAGAGTAGAGATAATCGTGTCTCCATATGACATTATGTTAATCTTTATGACATTATGGTGCAAGCTGAGATGCTTTTACTTTGTATCTTTGTTATGTACTAAGATTTAGAGTATCAAAATTATTCATGCATGTTAGGATTAATGTTTTAAGGCAAATAACAAATATTTTTCTTGGTTATTGGTTCAATTTTTTGTGTGGTTGACTAAACAAATTATTCATTTTTTGTTGAGTGTGGTTTATCTGGACCAGACCAGATCGCACAGGCGTGGTCTGGACCAGACCGTATAGTCTGTGGTCTGGTCTGTGGTCTATACTTTAGCCTCTCGGTCTGGACCGTAGACCGTATATATGGTCTGGTCTGGACCAGACCGCACCGTTTCCCAGCCCTACTAATATATATGGTGCCTTCTACGGTACCCCGGGTGAAATCCGGACTAGCGCATACCTTGAGTATGAAAACACTATCGAGACCTCAAATTAGCAGGATTTTGGGCATGATACTATACCCTAACCCTTAACGAGTGAACCCTAGGTCCTAATTATCTAAATTATAAACTATAAACCCTAAGATGGTGCATTGGTTTTTTTGCCTATATTTGGACGAATCATAACCGTCGATTATTGTTTCTAATTAAATTGATCTTGGGGTATAAGATTTAGAGAATTAAGAGCTAGATGTTGATCTTTAAGGGTTAGAGTATAGTATCATGTCCGAAAGATCAGTCAATTCAAGTTTTGGATAGCGTTTTATTACTCAAGGTATGTGGTACCCCGGATTTCACTCTGGGTACCGTAGAACTGCCCATATATATTAAAAAAGTACACCGGCGGCGGCAGCAACCCAATGATGATCTTCTTCAACTGCCCGCCCCAAATCTCGTCCAGCCCGACGATTCACCTCCCGCCGATAAGGACTACGGACTACCGACGCCTCTGCAATATCGCACCATCCGGAACACACAAATTGATCGGACGACGGCCGATGACAACAGTTCCGATCGACTGGGGGAGCAAAATTATTACTACTACTACTTCTCTCATGCAGCTCTTTCTCCTCCTCCCCAAATCCACTAGGCAGACGAAGAAAGGAAGCTCTTCCCACCCAGCAACTCACCTTCCTCCTCCTCTGCAGATCTCATAATGAGATGAAATTCCCACGAGGCGGCTCCGTCACCGGCGGCGAAGGAAGCCGACTCCTCCCGTAGTAAGAAAGCAGCAGGTGGCGGCGGTAATAAGGAGGTGACATACGGAGGGGTGAGGAGGCGGCCATGGGGGAAGTACGCGACAGAGATAAGGGATTCGACGCAGCACGAGATGAGGGTGTGGCTTGGGACGTTCAAGACGGCAAAGGCGGCGGCGATGGCGTACGACCAGGCAGCGCTGTCCTTCCAAGGAGCCAAGGTCGTCCTTAACTTCCTCATCGACGAGGTCAGCAGATCCCTTCGGGAGATAGGCTGCAACAACAACAACATATTCGAGGAATATTCGTCCCCTGCTCAAGCGCTTCGATCCGAACTATTGTCACCGGCCGGTCGTCTGATCGATTTGTGTGTTCCGGTGGGTGCAATATTGCAAGGCGCCCAGACGCGGTGAAAGATTGAAGGCGTCGGCGAGATGGACGGAGGAGCGGTGGAGTCGATTCCGATTTTGCCGCCACGGTCCGGCTCGAAAATGCGGGTTTGAATAATTGGAGTTATTTGACAGTGGAGGAAGATATTATTTCTTGTGCGACGGTATATAAACCGAATTCCTGCAACTGAAGAATGCACAGCAGTAGGACTGCGTCATCCTCTACTTCACCGGCCTCCACGTCGTGCGGCGGAGGTTCGACGACTGCTACACCGTCAGATCGATCCTTTGCCAGTTTCAAGTCCGGATCGACGAGCGAATCGGCGGACAACAAATACATTGTCGAGGTGTAGGAGATCCTGGGAACTGCCGGGAAGGTGAATCTGTCAGTGGTCCTCATCGGCGGGGAGGTGAATCATCGGGCTGGACGAGATTTGGGGGCGGGGAGTTGAAGAAGATCATCGCTGGGTTACTGTCGCCGCTGGTGTAATTTTTTAATATATATGGTCCAGGCTAGCATACACCTGACGTACGCTATACACCTGTGTTCACATTCATTAATTAATTTGAATTAAAATTAAATTAATTATTACTGACAGTTGTAATTACAATAAGATTCGCTCTATTTTTATATACTACATTCCCGCAAACCTTCCTAGTCCTGCTTTTCCTACTTTCTTAATTAAACATCGGCAGATCGGACATCTCTTCCCTACCGACAACCGGTGGAAGAAAAACTTGTAAAAAAAAAAAAAGATTCGAAGATCGATGTTACGGTCTTGCAATAAACAGATTAGCGTCCCAGTCTTGTTTAATGGCTCTCTCTTCTTGATGACGAAATTGTTGCCGAGCGCAGCCCGATAGTTCTCAATAAGGAAATATCGAAATAGTAACGGATCAGCCTTTGCTTTGGATTCCCGCTGGTGGTGAAAAGGAGAGGAGAGTGTTTTACTAACCCAAAAACCTGAATATTCATTAAAGATACAAAGATCTGTATTATGGCCTTGCTATAAAGGAATCAAGATTCTGGAATGATTCGCTCTTCTCGATGGGTCCAATAGCCATCACTGGAATGTGTTGGGTTGGAGTTGTTATTGTCGATGAGGATTGTGGAGGCAACACATGTATTTCTATAGGGGGCATGCTATCATAAGAATGATTTGTGATTAAATGATGAACAGTTTCTTAAAAATGCATAGGTGATCTGTTGTATTAGGTTTTTGCAGAGAGGTAGAATCGTGAACATGGCCTGGAGCAAATCCCTAAGCTTAGAAATAATGAAGGATAAGAATCGTGGGATTAAAGTGTATACAAAAATTAATCAATGGATTTGGTTATAATTATAATTATTGTTTGAAATTAATTTAATTATATTTAATAATTTATTATGAGGTATGAACACAGGCGTATAGCGTATGGCAGGCATACGCTAGCCTTTGACATATATATATATAGTGCACTAATATTTTTGGGTGCATTCAATTCTCTCGCCTCATAATTTTCATGCATACGATTCGTGTCAAAACTATGTCAATTGTCACATGTGATACGATGGACAAGAAAACACGTGAATTTGCACAAAAATCATTCACGATGTACTTTGATTTCAAGGGTTTAGAGTTTAGCGGTTTAAGGTTGGGGTTTATAATTTTGGTTATGAGTCCAAATTTTTTTATAGATAAGGGTGATATAGATTTATTTTTTATGGTTAGGTACTACTTAATTTGGCTACTTCCTCTATCCTTCATTGATAATGCATGAAAATACTGGTGGTGTTGACGCGGAATCGGGAGGCGGGAGAGGGATGAAAACACCAGTGCCTCTACAGGCGGTGGACTCCCTGCTACCACGATCTCATTAGAGGAGTCCAATATTAATAGATAGTTTAACTGTAAGACAGTTAAAATTAGTTCAAAAGGTGGGGCATAGATGAGAAGTTTCTCAGATGATTGTTATCCAATAGTTTTGGGAAATATAACTATTATATAACAATTATGCATATCTATTTCTTAGATTTGACTTACATTATATGGACTTCATATTTCCTTTAAAAAGTAGAATATAACTGTTATATAACTGTGTCATCATCAACATCCATAAATCTCATATCATCTTGATTTTATGGGTTTTATTCTATAAGTGTTAGAAGAGGGTGTTTTTTCTTTTTGTATAGTCTTATAATCTGCCCAGAGATTTGGTTGCGCTCATGGTTGATATGATGTTAGAAGCATAGAGAGAGAAAAAGCTCTCCCCTCTCTCCTAGTTTTCTCGTTGTGTTTTTCTGGATGACCATTGGGTGTGTGCCTCCCACAGCGAAGGCGGACCACTGCTTAAAGCCGCAGGACGGATCTCCGCAGCCGGATGGATCTCCGCCGCTGACGCCGATCCAACCAAGCAAGAAGGTGAAGGCAAGCACGAGCGGAGACTTCTCAGAGTAAGGTGGAATGGAAATCGCCATCGTCACAACTAGGGCTGGAGAACAACATCAGGGTAAAGATGTGGAAATGGAAACGGTTAGCAACGGTGAGGAAGGGCTAGTCACAAAATCGATATCGGCTAGCAACGGGCAGGGGAGGATGAAAGTCTCCTACAAAGATTCGTTCCTTGGGAATGAACCCCCTGCTGAAATTCCTCAAGGTGATGAATTGATGTCTGGTGAATCGGAAGGAGAAGATGTTGAGGATGACCCCGAATGCCCAACAATCAGGATCAAGAAAAGCACAGACGCGAGAGTCAGGAATAGATGGAAAAGAGTTATCACCTTCCGTGTTCTTGGTAAGACCTTTCCTTTTGATATCATTCACATAAGAGTGCAGAAAATGTGGGCGAGATCTGGGGGGATCAAAATTGGCAACATTGGAAATGGTTATTTCCAAGCGATTTTTGATTCTCAACTTGACCATGATCGTGCCTTGTACGGGGGACCTTGGAATATCGAAGATCATTACATCGAAGCTGAGCCATGGAGGATTGATTTTGATCCGGATTTCGATTCGATTAGTCATGTGTTGGTTTGGGCCAGGCTCCCTCGCCTCCCACTTGCCTATTTTGATGAAGAGATTCTATATGATATTGGGGATTGATTGGGGAGAGTAGAAAAGATAGATTACAATAAGACAAATGGATCAAGGGGAAACTATGCTCGTATTTGTGTGGAGATAGACTTGAGGAAGAGGCTTATCTCAACATATAGGATCAAGACAAGAGTTCGCGAGCTTCTTGAGGATTTCTGGCCATGGATGCTCGTGACCAGAAATCGAAGAAAGCCATAGCAGCAGAATATCCAGAAAGCAGGGAAGGCAAATAAAGGAAAGGAAGACACAACAACTACTGAGGCATTAAGGTCAAGGTTTAATGTGCTAGAAAATGAGGCTGATAAGGAAGTCGAAACTGAGGATGAGGAGGTTGATGATCATATTGTCACCCAAGAATAGAAAGACTTCATCGAGGAGAAGAAAGGGACAAAGAAAGTTGAAAAGCATACCACAACGACTAATACAGGAAAAACCACAGCGGGAGAGGCAGACAGGGATGTTGGAATGAGAACTAACAAGGGCTTGGAGGGAGAAAGAAGGACGGTGTACCCGATGATGCGATCCGCCTTCACCTCTTCCCCCATTCTCTGGCGGGGCATGCTAAGAGGTGGTTGGAGACCCAGCCCCCATTGTCCATCACTTCTTGGGACGATCTGGCCAACAAGTTCGTGCACAGGTACTATCCGGCATCGAAGACCACAGAGATCCAGCGGGAGATCACTCACTTCCGCCAGGAGCCAGACGAGTCACTTCGTGATGCATGGGAGCGGTACATGGGATTTTTCTAGCAGTGTCCCCATCATGGCTTCGGTGATGCATTCACCGTGGGGAACTTCTATAGTGCTCTCTCCCCGGAAAGCCATAGGGTGATTGAGTCTCTATGCCCAGGAGGGGATATTCTTACTAAGACTCCACCCGAACTGAACCAGATGATCAGTACTTTGGCTGCCAGAGATCATTTATGGGGGCAGAGCAGGAGAGGCAGGAATTCCCGGGACCGTGGTGTGCACGCCATGGAGGTCAGGTCTAGGCTAGAGAGGGAGGTGGCTGAGTTAGTGCAGACATTGAAGCAGCCCAACAGTCTTATTCCGGGTAGAGGTTCGGCTTTACCTCCAGTAGCTCAATGTCAGTAGTGTGAGAGCCTGAATCATCTGGTGGAAGACTGCCAGGCTATGCGGGAGTCTTCTACTCCCCAAGAGCAGTTGGACTTCATCGCCAATGCTCGGCGCCTTGATCCATACAGCAATACATATAATGAGGGGTGGCGCTAGCATCCCAACTTTGCTTGGAATAGCAACACCACTAAACCACCTGGTTTCCCAGCACCAGCGGGTGGTTTTCAGCAGAGGCAGCCTTATCAGGCTAGACAGGGGCCAGTTCCACAGCAGCAGCCTTACCAGCCTAGGCAGGGGCAGCAATTCCAGCAGCCCCAACGTCAGTATGCCCAGCCTCCAGCAGCTGCAGCTCCAGATAATCAGATGACGGAACTGAAAAATATTTTGCAGGCATTCATGACCACCAGCCAGGCGAATTTTACGAGGATGGACCAGAACATAGCCTCACTGGAGGCAGGCCAGAGGAACCAAGGTGCCATTTTGAAAGATTTACAAAATTAGATTGGTGGCATAGCTCGCCAAAACACTACAAGGGCACCAGGGACTCTGCCTGCCACCACAATTCCGAACCCTCGTGAGCCTCACCAGCAACTGGATGCCATCACTACCAGGAGTGGCAAGACCACATCTGTGCTCCTGCCCAGCCCAGGCAGAACGAGCCACTACCTGCTTCAACACTTCCAGCCGACAATGCAGAAGTGAGGAAAAATAAAAAAGCACCTGCTCCCAAGCTGGAGAATGAGTTTGCCAAATTCATGGCAATGTTGAAGCAGGTCAACATCAGCATGCCGTTCGTGGAGGCACTGTCGAAGATCTTTCGACGGTGATGTTGAGCAAGGAGTGTTCTGCTATCCTGCAGAACAAGCTGCCCGAG